TTTTCATCTTGCCATTTTAATTTTGCGTATTCTTTATAATGAAAATTAATAATAAAATTTTATTATTCACGAAAAGTAGAAAAAAAATTAAAATACTATTAATTTGAAATTAAAATAGTATATATTAAATAATATTTCATCAACTTCTCAACCATTACCTCTAAACAAAAAAATCAAAACTTTTTAAAAATGGGTTTTCTCAAATCCCTTAGACCATCTCCAACCCACCTCTATTTTATTCTCCATACTCTATATTTGGAGAGTAAAATAAAGAATGGGCACTCCAACCCACCTCCAAATCACCCTCTATTCTTCAAATTTAGAGAGTTGAATAGTAGTTCTCCAAATTTGGAGAACTACTATTCAACTCTCTAAATTTGAAGAATAGAGGGTGATTTGGAGGTGGGTTGGAGTGCCCATTCTTTATTTTACTCTCCAAATATAGAGTATGGAGAATAAAATAGAGGTGGGTTGGAGATGGTCTAAGGGATTTGAGAAAACCCATTTTTAAAAAGTTTTGATTTTTTTGTTTAGAGGTAATGGTTGAGAAGTTGATGGAATATTAATGATGGTTTAGCTGGGTTTTTTTTATTATCGTAGAGAAGGTGGAAAATGGCATTATGTACAACAAGTGGGGTATATGATTTTTTTAATTTTATTGTACATGACAAATTAGATGGTCTGGTGCGTGCATATTCATGGATCGAGGTATTTATTATATTTAAATTCATTAAGAAATCAATATATGTGAATTTTGGAAAGTTAAATATTAAAAATAAATTTCATAGAGAAAAAGAGAAGGTAATATTAGAAATATTGAAAATATAAACTTGAGATGTGATAATTTTTTCTTTTTTATTTGGAATTTTTTTTAGTATAATTTATATATATATTTATGTAAACTTGAAATCTGATCGTTCTTTTCTGCTTCTTTGCAATCTTTTTAATTATATTCTTAGTATAATTTTGCGACAATGTGTAAACTCAGATTGTCATTAATAGTTATTATTCGTGACTACATCGTTAGCCAACACTATTTTTAATCATTATCCACAATTACTATTACTTGACGTCGTCATCACCCAATCATCACATATTTTAATTATTTTATTGTGTAGTATTAGATTAATTTAATATTTGATTAATAACTTTTTAATAATTAAATTTTAAATTAAAAAAAGTTTACATAATTAAATGATGAAAAATAACAATCTTAATTAGTTAGTTTCCATATCTTAATATATTATTATTACTAGTATACGTGCCCGCGCGTTGCGTGAATATTTTTAAATTAAGAATAGTTTATATAAAATTTATTATGGTAATTTGTTTTTTTAAGAAAGTTATAATAATACATTATTATTATTACTATTTACATGATCATATTAACTTAATGGTATATGCAATAATATTTAAAAATATTTTCTCTATCTAAAATTGTCGTCAGATTCTATGTTATATGCAATAATATTCAAAATTTACTGATGAATTCGTATATTTTTTTCAAGAATTGATTTCGTAAACTACTCATTAATTTCAGGCTAAGATTTTCAAATAAATACTGAATTACTTTTTTTCTTTTCCAATCTTCGGAAAAAACTAACCACCCACATTGCTATTTGTTATTTTAATTAACTTAAAAATATTTCCTCATCTCCAATTAAAATAAAAATATTTTTTATCCTTTTATATTACAAATAAATAAAAAAGTTATGCACTTTACGTACTATAATAATAATAATAATAAATTCTCACAAAAATAAAAGTAAATTACAAATCTAATGACAATAGATTTTATGTCGATAATTTTTTTTGTCTTTTCTTGAAGTATTTAAAGTTGTTTCATGTGTCCTCCCACATATTAAGTGAAACTAAAGAGCACTCTATTCTAATTTATTCCTAGCATCAATTTATTTTAAAATCTTGGTAATCAAGTAATATTAAAATTTTTAAAGATAATTTTCTTCAATAGCTACATTAAATAAAGACATTTATCATTGAAATTCATAAATAACCATTAGTAAATTAGTAATAGTTATTAATTAGACTTTTCATGTACTCTCATTTTTCTTTCATTTTTAGCATATAAATCGCTAATTGGGAAAGTTGAAATCATTTAAAAAATTATTTAATATTAAACAAAACACTCCCAAATAGATATCTTGATGAAATTTCAAAAAAATAGCTTAGAATTAGAAATTTTGGTAAAAGTTATTTCATTTTCTATTAATTTCTTAAAATTGTCTATTAAATGTTGGGTTGTTTCTTTTACCTTTTCAATCTTCAGGAAAAAAAATTATGATATTATAATAAAGCAATTTGAAGATGTAATGAGGATTAATATATTTTAAATGAGCGTGACACTTATCACATTACTATTTGCTAAAAATATACATTATAGAAAGTGTGAAGTTATAACCATCTTCAAAACTGTAAATTTTAAATCTTCATCTTTTAATTAATCTTATATGTTTATAACTAAATTAAAGAAAGTCTACATTGCATATACAAAAAAGATATATATATATATAAAACTAACCGCGCACATATAACTTTTGTTATTTTAATTAACTAAAAAAAATTTGCCTCATCTCCAATTCAAATAAAAATAATTTTTATCTTTTTATATTATAAGGATAAAAGAAATTTTACCTTTTATGTACTATAATATTTATAAGTTCTCACAAAAATAATAATTATTTCATAAGTCCTCCGAAATACTAATTTAATGACAATAGATTTTATTCCAATACTTTTTATCATTTCTTGAAAATTTTCCAGTTATTTCATAAGTCCTCCGAAATACTAAATAAAAATAAAGAGCACTTGACTAAAATTGATTCATAACATTATTTATTTGGAATCCTATGGACAAAGTCATATTAAGAGTTTTAAAGATAATTTGATTCCATAATCACATTAAATAAAGGCATTTATTATTAAAATACATAAATAATTAACACTAATAGCTATTGATCAGACCCAGGGTCGTTATTGGCCATGCTTCACAATAATAAAGCAGAATAAAGATGATTTAAAAATTTGATATTATTAACACTAAACACATTGTACTTTCTTATTTATTAGTAAATATTTTTATATTTATATGTTTTTTGACATCTATATTATAATCATGTGTCTAAATTATCTGATATAATTGATGTGTATAAAAACGGCAATTGCAACAACAATAACAACATACTCAGTGAAATCTCACGAAAATAGAAACTTATAAATTTTTACCTAATTACTATTCGATAAAATTTGCTTCAAACATGCTCAAATATAGAAAAAAAAGAAAAAATCTTATACGAAACTACATGATATGAAAAGTAATAATACAAAGTGTTTTTTCTCTTACCATCGCAATCAAAGAGAAAGACATCCACAAACTTGAGAAGTTCTTTAGCGTTCTCAACAAAAAATGACTGAGCACTTGATTTTGAGATTTTCCCGTTCATTCTTTACCTTTGATAAAATCAGATAAAAATAAATCAAGTTAACACAATATACAAAATCAATCACTAATTGCCAATTATTGAATTTTTCAAATAAAAAACAAAATACGCATTGAAATCAATGAGTAAAAAGAGATGAAACATTATCTAGGAATGAACAAATTGTTTGGATGGTTATGATATACTAGTATAAGTATCCGCGCGTTGCGCGGACATTTTAAAATGTAATAATGTTTTAAATTTAAAATAACTAATAAGGTTTATTATTCACTTTGTAATATTTTTAAAATAATGTAATAAATCATTAAATTATTTATTTGAGCAAGTTATATTAATATTATTTGTGCACAATTTAATATTTATGATATTAATTTTAACTTTTCATATAACTTGTAGTATGTTCAAAGGCTTTTATGATTTAATTCATAAGTTATACTATTTCAATTGATTTATATGTGTTTGAGCTTTTCCTATACTACACCAAAAATAATAAGGAAATAAAGAAAGAAGAATAATAAAAATGCAAAACAAAAATAACTACATGAGATATGAGTTTTATTTTTTTATAAATAAATAAAAGGAATACATACAATATAATCATAGTTAATAATAGAGTTTAGCTTCATTAGATAAAAGCTATATTACAAAGTAACTATAAATTGTTTGAATTTAATCATTGTAATGAAGATCTTTAATCTTATTCAAACATGAAAAGATAATTATCATCCCTAATTTAATGTTATAACAAATTATCAAATTATCTTAAATCAAGGAATTCTTTTCATATTTTTTCAAAAATAATTATTATTGATACATGGTCCATGATAGCTTTCTTCCACATTAGCGTTATTGAATTCATGTGATTTTTGGTGATGTAAATTCCCAAAATAAAATATTAGTAATCAAGATTAATAATAGTGTAAAATAAATTAATTCAATTTTATTAGATGATGACTGGTTAAATTATATCATTATATACTCAATTCAGAAAATAATTGTCATGTCAAACTTTTATTAAAAATCAGGTGAAATTCATAATACTAATAAGCTTTTATGAAATTTATTTTTTATATTAATTCAATAAATATGGTACATAAATTAGCAAAATAAAATGATTTTAATATTTAAAAATTAAGCTTCATTGAATATTGAAAACACTCTTTAAAATTAATAAATATATATTAATTTATTAATTAAATTATACTTCTATACAATAATAATATCTTATGATTCCGACAATATTAATCTAAAGAGGTTTTACTTATTAGATGAATATTTTAATTATAATTCAAAGACTTACTCAATTCAAATGTTAATAAGCAATATCATTTTCAGTTGATTGGGATTCTTTCATAAAAAGTTTAAAGTTTTTTAAAAATTAATTTTAAAACAGATTATTCAAATATTTAATTTTTAAATTTTCATCTTAATTTTAAAAAATGATTATATCACATTAAATTTAAGTAATTCTTTGACAAAAATTAATTTCCAAGATTTTAGTTTTGAATTTAATATAGTTACAAATTACAAATT